CCTCTCCCTCACATCGCTAAATATTCGTTAAAGTTAAGGGCCAAGAATACCCCTCTAAAAACAACAGTATTAGCACATCAGGGATTTAACCAGATAATACACAGCTACACCATGGGGAAAAAAAAATAACATACACTGGTTGTCGTTATTGTCATGTGCTGTTGATTCAGGACAGACTCATAACCTTCAGAGAGTTTTCAGAGCAGGAGTGGCATCCACTTCACAAACAACATGCCACTGTAAAGACAGTGAGTTTTGAGAAAGCTTCAGTTTGCTCGGCTCCACAGTCAACACTTTTGGCACCAGCAGCCAGGAAATTAAAAGACATATTGCCATGGGAAAGTCTGCTGTTAGGGACTTCTCCAAAGTACTGAAGAGCAATGGTGTCTCTCTGGAGACTAAGGTGCATCTGATACAGGCCATGGTCTTTGCTATCACTTGTTATTCATCAGAGAGTTGGACAATGACTAAGGAGGATAGAAGGAGAATTGATGCCTTTGAGCTGTGGTGCTGGAGAAGAGCATTGAGGGTACCATGGACTGCTAGGAAAACAGATTCATCCTGGAGAGGGTTAAATCGGGCAGCTCCTTAGAGGCAAGGATTTTAGGGCTTCATTTGACATACTTTGGGCATGTTGTAAGGAGAGACCGGTCCTTGGAGAGGGATGTCACGCTTGGGAGGGTGGAGGGACAGAACAGGAGGGGAAGGCCCTCTATGATGTGGATTGATTCAATGACTGGGGTAATCGGGATGGGTGTGTCTGAGACAGTGCAATTGTCACAGGACAGAGGAGAGTTTAGGGCTGTTGTACATAGGTTCGCTATGAGTTGCAAGTGACTTGACAGCACATAACAACAACAACTATAGTTGTAGAACTGCTTCAGAACTGTTCATAGGGTCGCTCTGAGTCATGCTCGACTCGACAGCAATCAACAACCACATACTGCAAAGGAGAAGGCTGTTTCATCTTTCCCCTGAATGGATTCAAACTGTCTGCCTTTGGGTTGACAGTGCATATGCATATTTGCCTGTAAGCCAAACTTCAACATCTATGATCTGTTTTATTATTTCTGCAAATAGGGAATCTGGGCTGGTAACAAAGCAACAATAGTGCATCACTGACTGCTTTAGTTACATAATGAAGCTATAGTGGAAATAGTTGCAGAAAGTGGCTTTGTTTTCTCACAGATTGCAAGGTTACAGGTCAGAATTCAGATCAGGTGCAACTCTAGAGGAAAGATCTTTTTCCGGCCTTTGTTTCCTGATGTTGTTGCGGTCATATGTTTTGGCATCATGTTAACCCTATCTCTCTTAAGCTGGCTTGTTTAATGTCTTTGTTGTTGTTGCATACTGTCGACTAGGAACCGACCCATAGATGACCCTCCAGTGGGTTTTCAGAGACAATTAATAGCACTAAAGGAGGTTGCCCCCCCTTCTCCCATGGAGCAGCTGATAGATTAGTTTTTGCAGCACAGCTTCTTACCATCAGTGCTCCCTGCTTAATATCTCAAAATAGATTGACTCAAAATATGTCCCACAGTAATTCTGCCTCACTAATATTTTTGCTATTACTAATACTTTGGACATGTTGCTAGGAGGGGCTGTTTCTTGGAAAGGGATACGATGCTGGAACAATGGAGGGTCTGTGAAGGAGAAGATGACCCTGAACCAGGTGGGTTGATGCAGTGACTGCCTCCATGGGATCTAGTGTATCTGGGAGTGTGAGGATGGCACAGGATAGGACAGAGCTCAGATCTGTTGTTCATAGAGTCACTATGAGTTGTACTTGACAACACCTAACAACAATAGCAAATTTCTCTCGAGCTATGTTGTTGTTGTTATTAAGTGCCATCAAGTCGCATACCAACCCTATGAAGGAGAGTCCTTGACGCTTGTGTGACTTTCATCCTCCCTCCAGGTTCACAGGGTTTCCGGAGGCAAGCTATTATGGAAGTGGATGCCACTCCTCCTTCCAAGTTTGTTTTAATTGGGGAGCTCCACCCCACTCTCTGTTTGCATTGGGTAACCAGCCATTAATGCATTTGACACATCTGTGTCACAGTGTTCAACTTCACAGCAACCACAAGTGACTGCGGTACAGCAACTTGTACACCAGGGCTATACGACCTAGAGGAATGTCTGAACAAAAACAATGAATGACAGGCCCGAGGTCCATGGATTAAAAGTCCCCCACCTTTGGCTTGACTCATAGCAATTCTATGAACATCAGATAAGATCCTTGTCATATCGTATGTCTTCCCTACAATCTCAAGCCCATTGCTGCAGTCACTGTGTCAAAGCAGCTAGGTTGCCTCTTCCTCTGTTTTTCTGCCTGTCCATCTTTCTCACCATGTCTTTTCCCAAGGGCTTACAACATACCCAAAATGTATGAGACAAAGTTTCATCATTGTTGCCTCTAAAAAACATTCTGATTACACTTTTTCGATTGATGTGTTGTTGTTGTCTGTGTTTTTTTTTTTGGTTGTTTTTTCTTCTAAAATTTTCTTTATTGTTTGGTTTTTCTTTTATAAATTTTATTGTTTTTAATGAAAGTTTACAGAGACTTAGGGTTTCCAGTCATTCATTATTTCACTTTTCTCCCTGCCCCCCACCCCCCAATTCATTCTTCTTAAAAAGAAAAACTCTTTCATTGTTATGTAATCCCTCCCCCAAGTCTACTCCACTATGCAGCCTTCGTTCTGGACTCCTGTCATGGCAATAATACCTAATCACATATCCCTTTTTTCCCCTTATTTTTTAAATTTATTATTATTATTAATTTCAATGAACATTTACAGAGATTTTGGATTTCCATTCATTCGCTGTTGAACTTTTCTCCCTGACCCTCCCCCCACCAGTTCGCTCTTCTATTTGAAAAATAAAAGAAAAATTCCTTTATTTGTATACAATCCCTCCGTGCCCCCGCACCCCCATCCCAGGTACACTACACTCTGCAACCTTCATTCAAGACTCTTGTGATAATCATAATACCCTAGAATACATCGCTTTTAAGCTGTTCTCTCCCTCATCTGCTTCAATGCAGTATACATAATTTATCCAGTTTTTCTCATTCTTACCCCAACCCTGATGTCAGTCCCATTCTACAGCAGTGGCACTATGCAATGTTTGTCCTTTCATGACTGAGATACCTCACTCAGCATAATATCCTCCAGGGTCATCCATGTTGAATAATGTTGCATGAGTTCCTTATTTTTCAATGCAGCATAGTATTCCGTTGTGTGAATATACCACAGCTTCTCTATCCATTCATTTTTTGTTTTTTTAAATTTAGGTTGTTTATTTTCCATTTCAATGAACATCTACAGAGATTTTGGAATTCCATTCATTCACTGTCTTCCTCATCTGTTTCGATGCAGGAGACATCATTCCTCCCCTCCTTCTCTGCTTTCCCTCAACTCTGATGCCATCCTGTTTTATAGCAGCTTGGTGCAGAACCTTCTGCAGAGTAGCTGGTGGGTGAGAATACTAACTTTTCTGTTGGCAGTCGTTTCCTGGTTGACAAGGGTCACAGACATGAAAGCAAAGCAAAAACCAACACAAACCCAACAATTCTACATGCTCATTCTTAGGACACATCTCAGTAAGGCACAGTCGGAGGGGACGGTCCATCATTTTTTGTGGAGCAGCAAGGTGGATATGAATGTGATTTGGGGTCATCAGTGCAACCTGATATGGACTATATACTACTATAGTTCTTTTTGTTTTTTAGTCATTTTTTTCCAATGACTTAATGCATTCATAGGACTGCTTAAGTAGGAAACAGCTTAACCAAACATGAGGGAACTCATAACCAGTACTCATAGCCAGAGTAAATGAAGAATGCTAGCAACAATATTGTTGTTGTTGTTGTTGTTATGTGCCGTCGAGCCGTTGGCGACTCATAGCGACCCTATGTACAACAGCCCTAAACCGTGCTCTATCCTGTGCCAATCTCATTGCCTCTGACGAACCCATCCCGATTACCCCAGTCACTGAATCAATCTACCTCATAGAGAGTCTTCCCCTACTGCGCTGTCCCTCTAATCTACCCAGCATGATGTCCCTCTCTAAAGACCTGTCTCTCCTTACAACATGTCCAAAGTATGTCAGACGAAGCCCCAGAATCCTTGCCTCCAAG